TCTTTTGGGGTTTGGGTTAGGGCTTCTTTTGAGGTTTGGGTTGGGGCTTCTTTTGGGGTTTGGGTTAGGGCTTCTTTTGGGGTTTGGTTTAGGGTTTGTTTTGGGGTGTGGTTTAGGGCTTGTTTTGGGGTTTGGTTTAGGGCTTGTTTTGGGGTTTGGTTTAGGGTTTGTTTTGGGGTTTGGTTTAGGGCTTCTTTTGGGGTTTGGTTTAGGGTTTGTTTTGGGGTGTGGTTTAGGGCTTGTTTTGGAATCTGGAGCTGAGTTTGGGTTTGGATTTGTTTTGGGGTGGCATTTGGGTTCGGGTTTGTTTTAGGGTTGTGGAGCCAATGTTTGGGTTAGGGCTTGTTTTGGCGTTTTGGTTATGGCTTGTTCTGGGGCCTGGAGCTGGTGTTTGGGTTAGGATTTGTTTTGGAGTCTGGAGCTGACGTTTGGCTTAGGGTTTATTTTAGGGTCATGGCGTTTGGGTTAGGGTTTGTTTTGGGGTTGTGGAGCCAATGTTTGGGTTAGGGTTTGCTTTGGTCTGCCCTGGGGAAGGGGCTGTGCCTGAATAGGGGAAGGGGCTGTAGCTGAATAGGGGAAGGGGCTGTGCCTGAATAGGGGAAGGGGCTGTGCCTGCACTGGGGAAGGGGCTGTGCCTGAATAGGAGAAGGGGCTGTAGCTGAATAGGGGAAGGGGCTGTAGCTGAATAGGGGAAGGAGCTGTGCCTGAATAGGGGAAGGGGCTGTAGCTGCAGTGGGGAAGGGGCTGTAGCTGCACTGGGGAAGGGGCTGTAGCTGCATTGGGGAAGGGGCTGTAGCTGAATAGGGGAAGGGGCTGTAGCTGAATAGGGGAAGGGGCTGTAGCTGCATTGGGGAAGAGGCTGTAGCTGCACTGGGGAAGGGGCTGTAGCTGCACTGGGGAAGGGGCTGTGCCTGAATAGGGGAAGGGGCTGTAGCTGAATAGGGGAAGGGGCTGTGCGTGCCTTTGTTACCGGGCTCGTTCCGTGCGCGGCCCCGGAGCCGCTCGGCCCCGCAAGAACGGGGCCCCGGAGCCCCGCAGGAACGGGGCCCCGCGGGAACGGAGCCCCGCAGGAACGGAGCCCCGCGGGAACGGAGCCCCGGAGCCCCGCGGGAACGGGGCCCCGCGGGAACGGAGCCCCGCAGGAACGGAGCCCCACGGGAACGGAGCCCCGGAGCCCCGCGGGAACGGGGCCCCGCGGGAACGGAGCCCCGGAGCCCCGCGGGAACGGGGCCCCGCCGCCCCGGGGCCGTGCGCGGCCCGCCGGGGATTGACGACTCGCCCAAGGTCACCCGGAGGGGCCGCGGCGCTGCCGGGACTCGGGGCTGGGATCGTGATTCACATCCCGAGCGCGATCCCGGGGGATGCGGGGCCGGCTCCGGAGCCGCTCCGCCCCTGCTCACCCCGGTAATTACCGCGGGCTTGCCTCCCGTGGCAGCGGTAATTAACACCCGGCTGTTAATCACCCGCGCTCGGATGCAGAGCTAAGCGGGATTTCAGAACGCTCCGCCGTGCGGGGCTCGGGGATCGCGGGGTTTTGGGGGTACAAGAACCACATCCGCGGGGTTTTGGGGGTACAAGAACCACATCCCGCGGGGTTTTGGGGGTACAAGAATCACATCCCGCGGGGTTTTGGGGTTCAAAAACCCCATCCCGCGGGGTTTTGGGGTTCAAAAACCCCATCCCGCGGGGTTTTGGGGTACAAAAACCCCATCCGCGGGGTTTTGGGGTACAAAAACCCCATCCGCGGGGTTTTGGGGTACAAAAACCCCATCCGCGGGGTTTTGGGGGTACAAGAACCACATCCCACAGGGTTTTGGGGGTACAAGAACCACATCTCGTGGAGTTTTGGGGTTCAAAAACCCCATCCCGGGGGGTTTTGGGGGTACAAGAACCACATCCCACAGGGTTTTGGGGTTCAAAAACCCCATCCCGCGGGGTTTTGGGGTTCAAAAATCCCATCCCGTGGGGTTTTGGGGTTCAAAAACCCCATCCCGCGGGGTTTTGGGGCTCCGCTCCGGGTGCCCAGCTGTGCCCAGATGTGCAAACCACGGCGCTGCTCCCGCCCAGGTGCTCCTTCCCAAAGCCCCGACCTCCTCAGGGAGATTCCCTGGATTTGGCGCTGAGATTCCCTGGATTTGGTGCCCCGCAACGCGGGGGAATCCCACGGGATCGCCCCGTGCCTGGCGTTCCTATCCCGGCTCCGCTCCCTGGTGTTCGGCTCTGCCCGGGGAGCTTTCCCTGAAATTTCCACTGAAATTCCGGGGGAAAATGAAAAAAGGGCCGCGGGCTGCGGAGCTGGTGGAGGATTTTGCCCCGGACGTCCTTGGCTCCTCACGTTCCGAGCCAGATGCTTCCTCCCGTGCCCGAACACCTGCATTCCATGAGGGGCTGTGCTGAGAAGCCCTCTGGGATAAGCGAAGCCATAGAAATGTAAATTAAATTATTTACCTACTCCCAGTTAAACGCTCTGCCCTTCTGGCCAAGGAGGATCGCGGTGGGATGGGGTGGGCTCCAGAACCCGCTTAGCTCTTTGTGTAAAATTGCAGGGAACTTTGGGGAGCATCCTACAAAAATAAAAAATTATCCGAGCAAACAAGGGAAAAAATCCCAGTTTTGGTGCTTTGCACAATGTTCCGTGGGGCTGCTGGGCCGGGGATTCCTCGCCCAGCGCTGCCCAGAGTTTGATTATTATTCTTATTCCTCCCATTTTTATTTTTTTCCCCGCACAAGGAAGGAGCCGGAATCAATCACGGAGCAGCATTTTAAAGGGAAAGGCAGGGACGCAGCGTCCCTGCAGTCGCCGGAGCCAAACCCGCCCGTTCAGGGTTTAAACCTCGCTGCAGTTTTAGCTGGGGGCAGCGGCCGGGGGACGGCGCCCCGGGCTCGTTCCCCGGGGCTCTGGAGCGCCGCCGGGAATTGGCTTTACCCGCCCGGGGCTCGCTCCCGGTGCAGCGGCTCCGGCAGGGGAGCGGGGTCACCTCTCCGGCTATCCTCCCCTCCGGGTTTTCCCGGCGTTGTGGAGCACGGAGCTCTCCCAGCGCCATTCCCGGGCTGCTGTTTCCTTCCTGGGCTGCTCCTTGCAGACCTCCCTCCTCCTCCTCCTCCTCCAGCCCCGGCAGGACCGGCAGCGGAGCCGCTCCCGTCCCTCCCCCGGCGCCGGGGCAGCGGCCCCGAGCTCTGCCGGGGGCCCCCGGCCGCAGATCTCCGGTGTCCCGCGGGTGCTGACCCGGGACAAGCTCGGGACAGGCGCACGGACAGACGGCGCCGCCGGTGCGAGCGGCGCTGGCTGCGGCGAGCCGGCGGCTGCCCCCGCAGCCCGGCACCGCCTCCCGAGCCCGCGGGGCTCGCTGGTCGCCGCGGTCCCCGCGGCCCCGGAGCCGTGAATCACCGCGGCTCGGGGCACTTCGGGCGCATTAGCGAATTAATCCGTGCGGCCGCGGGGGGATTATCCCACACGGCTCAGACGGGAGATGGGGAGATGGAGCCGGGCCCGAGCCAGCACCGGGGCCACAGCGCTCACCCGGGACAGGCACCGGGTCCCGCTGCCCGCGGGGACAGCGCAGCTTTTACCCGGGACAGGCACCGGGTCCCGCTGCCCG